TATTTACCCAAAGGAAATGAAAACATGAATTCTAAAAGATACATGCACCCCTGTGTTCACTGGAGCATTATTTACAATGGCCAAGATATGGGAACAACGCAAATGTCCATTGATAGACAAAGAAGATATGTTTTATATATATACAATGGAATTATTACCTAGCAATTAAAAAAGAGTGCGGTGTTGTCATTTGCAACAACATGAGTGGAACTTGAGGATGTTATACTAAGCAAACTTAGAGGTCAGAAATACCGTATGATTTTGTTTATATGTGGAATTGAAAGAATGAAAGAACAAACAAAACAAAGCTCATAGATACAGAGAATAGATTGGTGGTTTCCAGAGGAGAGAGGGGTTTGGGAATGGGCGATTTGGGTGAAGGGGATCAGAAAGTACAAACTTCCAGTTATAAAATAAATAAGTCATTGGGATTAAGTGTACAGCATGGTGACCATAGTCAATAATGTATTATAAATTTGAAAGTTGCTAAGGGAGTAACACTTAAAAGTTCTCATCACAAGGAAAACAATTTGTAACTTTGTGTGTTGACAGATAGTAACTACAGTTATTGTGGTGATCATTTTGCAGGGTATGCAAATGTTGAATCATTACTTTGTATACCTGAAACTAATATAATGTTGTATGCCCGTTATACTTCAAGAAAAAAATAGCAGTCAGTAGTACTATTCTATATCATTCTTTTTCCAGTAGCCTAATTTTACAAGGAAAACTGGTTCCATTCAGCTAATGCATATCTTGCTTGAAGCTGTATCAGTCTTACAGATCCTCAGATACACTTCTGCTCCCAAACTGTGTTTTGGCCAGTTAGGCAAATGGGATGGGGTTTATCTTAATTAAGATGTCCTTTAACAATCTTTCTAATCACTAGTTTCCATTTAAACTGTCCCAGTACTGATACTAATCACCAGTAAGGAATTATCCTTCTTATCATGACTCTGATCTGAAAATTGGAATAAAATAGTTTTATTGGACTTGTGACTACTTTCTAGCATATAATAAACAATGGAAATAAAAAGAACAATGCCTAATATTTAGTTTCTGTAAATCCTTCTGATATTTACCTTAAGATAAAATCAAGTTTGTTCTTTTCATAATGGTCTAATGATTTCCAGTTTTAAAATATATGTCTGAATTTTTTATGAGGAGCTTCAAAACCTAGTTTTTTCCATTTTAAAAGAAAATTGATTTTATTAACGTTCTTGAATACAAAATCTTGAAAATTAGGATATTAAGAGGCTTTAAATTTGTCATCAGATTAAAAATATATTAATCAGATTAGTGATAAAAATTTTAAATACAGTTTGTAAACACAAAGGCATTTTCACTACATTTTTTTTTCTAGTAAATCTTTGATTTTTGCCCTTCCTGTCATTCATTTCTTCCTTTACATTTTCCTAAAATTCAAATAGTATTTTTTTTTAACATTTAGACAAATAGAACTTGTACCTGACTTTTATTTTAGTTAAGATAATTTACTCCAGTAATTCCCAAACTTAAAATTAAAGAGGGGAGCTTTTTTTGGTCAGTCATTATAAATGATACAAATCTATAATTTTATATGTATACATATATATTCTCAGAATTTTCCAAATATTCTGGAAATGTATGCAATAAAAATATTAACAATGGTTATCTTTATGTATATATATAAATGTTATGAGCATATATATTATACATGCATCATATTTTATATATTTATACATATGTATGTATATGTATATAAGTTACATGTAATTTATGTATTCTTGTGTATTTTCTGATTTTTTATGAGCAAAATAATTGTAATAACAGAAGCAATATAGGTATTTAAAGTAATACTTAAAATAATACTCTGCTGGACTTTGGTATTAGCATGTTTACTTACAGAAATTTTGGTTTTGTTTACTCTTTTCTTTGAAGTGGTGATTATAGGTTGAACCTCTCTTCTTTGTGTTTCTTCCTTTCCACTCCCTTCTCACATGTACATTGTTTTGGGCTTAAGGGTGGGGATAACTATCAACTGTGATAGTATAACCAACAAAACTCTGGTCAAAAGGGCTTTGCTATTAGTGTCTTCCTTTAGTTTTATTCATATTTGCAAGAACCAGTTGCATCAGGACGCATATATAGGAGAAATGCAAGCCACAATACTAGGGCTGATGTATGCTACTACATCTCAGGGCAGAAAGTTCTGGTGTTTACACCAAGTTTCTTTCTCCACTTAAACCCTTGTTTTCTGTCCATCATTAAGAGTTGATAGGCTATCTTAAATGACCTAAGACTTTACAGATGCACTATATGTCTCTGAATATTTTCTCCCTCTTTCTTCTCCTCTCTTTTAAGATTCAATTCTGTGCCTCTGGAATCCTAGTAAAATTCCAAACTTGTTAATCAACATTTTCTTATGCGGTAGTGTATCCACTCATATGGATGAATCTCATGTTGGGTGGAGGAATACCAGTCCTAAGCAATCATAAACATATGTCCTCCATTCCCTCCAGAGGGGATTCTCGCAAAACCTAATTTTTAAATACAAATCAACTTTAATTCCTTAACATCAATGAATATGACCTTTAAATAATAACAACATTTAATCTATATAGTTCATGACTAAATCTTTTCATTTAATATTGTGTTATAATCCTTTGGATTTTTTTATGTTGTCATTTTCTATGTAACCCAAGAGGAATGAGTATAGAGATGACAATATTAATCTTGACATCACTGACATAAGTTCTTTGTAATGGGAAGCAGAATCAGAGGCCAAATAGGTAAAACTAGGAAACACAATGGGGTCGGGGTTGTTAAGTCTTTATAGGTAATTCGTATGACTCTTTTTCTAGTCAAAATATGGTGACTAACATAAAATAATAAAATAAAATTAAATTAAAAAAAATAAAACCCGAATTTCAAAATAAAACATTTAAAAAAGTAATATTTAAAATTTCTTACCAAGTGATGATACACATTTTTTGTAATGTTATTAAATTCAAACTACTTAACCTAGATGAAAATGGTTTTTCTATATTTGTCTTAAGATAAACATTTGCTATGATTATTATAAAGACCATAAACAATTACTCAGGTAGCAAATATCCCCTCTATGGAATGAGACTGCCTCACAGATTTTGCTGCAGTGGTTCAAATAAATTGAAAGCCTTCAATACAAAGAGAAATTTCTACGGTCTTTATCCTCTTTGATATTATGTATGCTTCTCTATGATCTATATAGGGCTTGACTTTCAAGAAAAAATTTACAGTAGTGCAGTTCTGAACATTTAAAATAATGGTCTTCTTTAGTGTCTATTTAAGTGCATCCTATTCTTACAACAATTACCAAGAGGCTCTATGCCTCCCTTTATATCCTATTGATTGACTAAAAAAAGTAAAACAATTATATGATAGTCTCTATTATCATATAACATTTTCTCTACTATCATATAACCTTTTGATAGAAAGATACTCTTTGCTTTTCAGAGTATGATCTATGAGAAAATTTCTTCTTGTCTATACAATTTATATATAATTTTACAGACATGCTTTACTTTGATGTCTTAAGATAAATTTATAGTATCAATGTTTGGCTGTAACAAATACAATATAAGACAGTAGAAGTGTTACCATAAATTTTTATTTAAGCAAAATAAATGATTGGTGATAGTAGAATAACCTTTTAATGTTTTAATTATAAACTTCGGGCTCTGAATATTATATAAGGAAAGGGAGATAGCATATTCTCATAAACATGTCAGCAAAATAATTGAAATGTCACTTGATTTATCTTAAAGTATTTTCCATTGTATGTTGGCATTCATTTTTTGCTTATGGTAAATTATATTTACCAATTGCCACCTTGTTCTTTTTTAACCCTAATTTTTAAAGAGCTATGCTATTCTCTAGCTTATTTTTAAATAATATCAATATTTTTTCTCATGTTGATATATACTCTTCTACACTATGAAATAAATGCTTTTGAATAATTAAAATTTTTTTAAATTGTCTACTTTATAAAATCACAGGAAAGATACATATACATCTTTATATTTATATTATCACTTTTGTGTTTGGGGTTTTTAGGAAAAAAAATATTGATATGTTTTAGAATGAACAAAACTGAAATTCAATTTGAAATAGTAATTTAAATTATATAAATCCAATTTATTTTATTTAAATTATATTATGTTGATAATTTAATGTTATATAGATCAGATGTTTTTTATTTACCTTGCTTTTTAATCCATTGATAGTTGTAAAGGTATTATCCAGTTCACCTTCAAGCCTTAGGGTGGCTTCACAAATTTGAGAAAATAATAATGACAATAATAATATGATTTGTTATGTAATATTATGTGCCAAACCTTATGGTAAGTACTTTATATACACTTAATTACCATGTGTCAAGTATAGAACAAGGAACCCCAATTTTGCCATTTTAAAGTTGAAAAACTTGAAGCTCAGAGAAGTTCTATAATCTATCTGGGGTCACTTACAAAGTAGCATAGTAGAGTTTTAAACCAGGCCAGTATGGCTTCAAAGTCCTCGCTTTAACCATGGCTGTATTTAGCAGAGTGCCAGACCTGACTCAAGTCAGCCCCCAGAAAGTCAAAAGCTAAATATTCAGGGATTTTGTGAGCTCGTTGTTAAGACACTAGCAATTTGAAATTAGCCATGGCAGGAATATTTATACCATAAAAATCAGCAAATGCTACAAATTGGGCCTTGCCCCACACTTTCATGTCCTCCGCCTGACAGTTTACTAGCATACCATTGTCTTTACAGCCAAAGTCTTGTCAACATTCACCTATATATTAGGTTACAAATATAAGTAACAGATGTAAATTTTTTATCATTTGCTGAGTACTACATATAAACTGCCAGCCATTAAAAAATTTGCCATTAACAGTTCCTGAATTAAATATGTCATCTTTTATTGTGATATCTAAAATAATTTTTTGTAGAGAAGAATGTGTAAAATAATGAATTATCTTTTTTATTTTCAGTGATAGTGGAAAGTGGAAAGATAATTTCTTTTGTGGCTTATATTAATTCTGGATATTGTGACATTTATAGAAATATTGTAGGACTTATGAAACTACAATCAAAAAAAGTGGTAAGTTTTAAACTTATGTATTCTCTTTAATCATAATTGAATCTAGCCTAATTATCGAACATTTGTCTCCTTTTGTGAAATTTCTGTTCAATTTTTTTGACTATTTTTTGTTATTTCTTTTCTTTTTACTGAGTTGTAAGATACAGGAATGTAGAATACATTGCATTTTGAGTTGTGAGACATAGGAATGACCAATAAGCACATTAGAGATGCTTAATATCTTTATTCCTCAGAGAAATGTAAATTAAAACCACAACAAGGTACCACTTTAAGAATACCAGATTGGTTAAAATGCACTTTACATTTGACCCAGAAATTCCACTTTATTTACTCAAAAGAAATAAAAATATACATTACAAAAAGACTCACATGAATCTTCATAAGCGAAAAACTATAAGTAATCCAAACGTCCATTGACAGTTAGATGGATGGAAGCATTGTGATATATTCTTACAATGGAATGCCATACTTCAATAAAGAGAAGTAATGCATACACGAATATGGATGAATCTCAAAGCATTAGGCTGGGCAAAAACATCAAACCCAGTCTATTTGATTCCAGTTTTATGAGGTTCTAGAACAGGTAAAACACTAATGCAGTGATAGAAAAGTTAGAGCTAATTCTTTTTTTGATTGGTCAAGCAATCTTCAATGGCGTTTAATATAATATGTAAACTTAGTTGAATTCTGATACACAAATTATATTCAGTGTGAAGATCTGCCATTTATATAAGTGGCAATTCTTCAAGTTAGATATTGGCTTTTGACCCCAGGATATTTAATAAAGGCTTTCACCTCTTCCAAGTTCATGTCATCAACCTACTTTGAGAGCTACACTTCTTTTTTTTTTTAATCATACTGCTCATCAACTCATCCCCATTTTGATGCTGTTGAGATCTCTGTGAAAAGATAATTTGGAGTTTCAACTTTTTCTCCAGAATCATGCATACTGAAAACCTGGTAGGCCCTTTTCCACTGTTTCTAATTTGGACCTAAATTGCTAGTTCCCTGAGTCAAACTCACTTTCCATGTTTCTTTATTATTTAAACAAGAAAGTCTTGATGGAATTCCATCTGTGGCCATTAATTCCATCAATTCTGATGCTAGCCCTCTGTGCTTATTTTCTCATTCTCTGTTAGTGCAACAAATGTGCCTTGCAACTGCGGCTGAGGTAATAAATGATAGCTAAGAAAACATACAAAGTTAAGCTATATTTACAAAATGCTATCCTTGGACCTTGAGAAATGGAATGAGCTCAATGTTTCCTAAACATCTTGGTGGATTAAAAATTTAATTTGCAGATCACTAAATGACAGTACTTTCAATTACCTTAGAAATGTTGAACTTGTCTATCAATTTACTATTGTTCTAATATAATTTAAATACATGTGTACATAACTGTTTTCTCTGACTTGAATGAAATTGCAATTTATTTTAAATACCATACACCAAACTGATTTCTGAACAGTGAATTTCTGATAATAATAGTATTTATCCATTGAATGAAAGTGGTTTCACTGAACATCAATTATCTGTATCTCTTACAGAAAAAAATTCAAAAACTTGTTTCTATGGGTAGACTTAAGGAGAAGGAGTCCTTTGGTGAGATTAGTGTTCTTCTTCAAGTTCCTTTCACATGCACAATAGTTACTGGAAAAGAGGTTGAGATGGCAATCATTGAAGATAAGGACCTATTTGGTAAATACATACACGTCTTTTATACCATTTTATTTGATGAGTTTTTGACAAGTGTGGATATATTTCATAGAAAGAGAAGGACACTCAAGTAAGTGTAGGTGTATATATATGTTATTTACAGAAACAATGTATCTATAGATAGTCCCCTTTAATACTTCATATTCTGTCTGATTTAATTGTGCTATTTTTAGAATGTATTAACAATATTTCAAAACACTTTGATTTGAAATTAATAAAATCTCTAATTCCCAAGTTACCATTAATAGCATCATACCTTCCTTTTATGGAGTATCTTTTGGTTTTTCATATCTACAATTATTGCTTCTATGTTTCTGGTTCAGGTCAAGAGTGTGCTGTCTTCCAATGTACAGTCTAGATCAAGTGTATCTGAAGAATTGTGGCTTGTAGCATTTAAGCCTTTATCTGAAATTCTAGCATTCTAGTAGTATTAAAAGAATAATCATGCAGCCACCCGTGTTTGGTCCTCCAAACATTATACTCAAATAGGAAATGCAATTGAGTATGAAGGATAAATGAATAGGGTTTAATAAATGATGACATAACAGGACATTAAAGAAAATATAGTTATTTGTATAATAAAACAAGAATATCAAACATTAGATAAAGGATAAAAGAGGAAAAATTCATAGAAATGAACATGGGTGAGAAATTTGCTTTAAATAAACTCAATTAGAAACATTCCCAGGGTGCCTGGGTGGCTCAGTTGGTAAAGCGTCTGCCATTGGCTCAGGTCATGATCCCAGCGTCCTGGGATTGAGCCCCGCCTCAGGCTCCCTGCTCAGCAGGGGAGTCTGCTTATCCCTCTCCCTCTCCCTCTGCCCCTGCTTGTGTGCTCTCTCTCTCTCTCACTCACAAATAAACAAAATCTTAAAAAAAAGAAGCATTCCCATGATTATGCATATATGATTGACTGAATCCCCCTATCCTGAATTGCAAGGGTTTTTTTTTTTTTATGTTTTTTAAAGAATATGTACTCTACCTGCTTAACTGTGATTTTGCTTAACTTCAAGCTCATACATCCATTTTTTAAAAGTTATAAATTTGAAATAGCATTGATTAATTTTCTTTGTTTCTGTGACATTCAAATACAAACCCCCCTAAAGGTAAATATCACTTAAAAATAAATACCAACTACCAATTAAAATTATAATATTCTCACTTGATATAGGCTAGGTTTTTCTTTTCCTGTACTAATTACGTTAACTGGTGCAAGGCAAATACACTGTGGACTCTTTTACGTAAATCAACATTTCACACATGAAAGTACTTCTTTCAAGCATGTATTAGAATCTTCTTTGCTGTCTGGCAAACTAAAATTAAAATAGATGGCTTAGTGTAAGATTTAATTGTGTTTTATATGTGTGCTATCCATACTTAAAATTTCTTTCTATATTTTGCTCATTTGAGACTGTTTTAAAGCTACTGACACATTGTGTGCCTAATTAAACATTTCCTAAACAGAAATGTTCTTAAGGATTTTATTTTGCTTGTTTTGCCACAACTTTTAAGAAAATAAAATATTTTACAGTTGACCCTTGAAAAACATGGGTTTTAACTGTGTGGGTCCACTTATACAGGATTTTTTCAATAAATACATTACAGTACTGAAAATGTGTTTTCTCTTCCTTATGATTTTCTTAATGACATTTTCTTTCCTGTAGCTTACTTTATTGTAAGAATACAGTATATAATATATATAACATACAAAATATATGTTAATCGACTGCTGGCTATTAGTAGTTTAGTTTTGGGAAGTCAGAAGTTATACATGGATTTTTGACTGCTTAGGGATTGGTGCCCCTGCCCCCTGCTGTACAAGCATCAACTGTATTTAATTTCAGAGTCTTTTTTTTTTAAGACTTTATATTTATTTATTTGAGAGAGAGAGAGAATGAGTGCGCTCAAGTGGGGCAGAGGGGCAGAGAGAGAGAGAGAATCAGACTCCCTGCTGAGTGCGGAGCCCAACACAGGGCTCAATCTCAGGACCCTGAGATAGTGACCTGAGCCAAATTCAAGAGTCCATCACACAACCGAGTGAGCCACCCAGGTGCTCCTAATTTCAGAGTCTTTTTTATTTCTACATTCTAATTATTTTATTTTATTCCAAAAAAGTAAATATATATATATATATTGAAAGCTAAATAATTTTAATGAGAAATGTAATGGTTAATTTTGCTGAAAGAATCATCTTCACACATGAACAATGTTCTTTATTTTTGCATTTTCATATTACTTCATTTTGTTTCCATCTATTCTACTCTTTATTATCTGAAATATGAATCCATCTCTATAAAATGGCATAGGGAAGGACTTAAGAGAAAGTAAAATGTGCCTTAAAAAATATCAAGTTGATGACAAATTGGAAGCATTAAAGTAGAATAATTAACATGAGCAAAACCCAGGATGTGTCATCTTGCAATCAGGATAATATTGTTATTAGCTGGTATATTAAATTGATGTTAGGAATAATTGTTTATATGTGAGGTGGTCCATTAAAAAACAATAAAAACTAATAAAACCAATGTGCTTCGACAGAATTCTTAGCCATATGTGGATTACATTGCCTACACTTTCTAATTTATCAAAAATTGTTAAAAATACTATTTCTTTTTAGAATTGTAAAATGTATTACTGGAGAACTAAATTAAAGGTCATGTCTTTTCTTAAGTATACAAGTCACACTCTATTTGTTCCCATATAAATCATGTTAAAAGGCCAGTATTACTTAAACAATCCAGTTTATCAACAATATTTAGTAAATACATAAAGGGAACAATGAATTCACTATACCTATCTATACCTTGGGATAGGTAGAACAGAATTAGGAAACATAAGAGATTGCATAAATGTTAAATACTTTATCTGGAGAATTATATATACAACTGTTTATATACAATCATAAAGGAAGCTGTGCAATAATTAGTTTTGAAGTATTTAAAAATACTTTAAGAGTGATTTCTTTGTTCATTTAGGTTGTTGACTTTTGGAAAGTTGCAAATAACTTTTGCAATCTATATACATGCTTCTCAGACATTAACTTGAACATCTAAATAAAAATGAGAGTAGTAGAATTATTATGAAATTTAAGCAAATATCAATACATTCTTTTTTATATAATGCCATTGGTAAAAGGTGAAAGATTTATGTGATCTGAAGAGAAACCAGAGTATTTTATATAATGCCATTGGGAATATAGTTTATCAGATTATTATTTTTATGAAGGTAATGTATTTTTGTCCAGATTCAGAACTTATACCTCAAGTCATTTAGATTAAAATTATGAATACCAACTATTTTAATTTTATTGGTATCAGAAATTCTCATCCTACCATTAAAACAAGTGTACTACTTTTGTAACGATAAAGAATTGCTTTTCATATTAAAAAATGAATTACCACTGTTTTTAATTATATCTCAATTCAACCATCCATGATTGAAAAAATAAGGGATAGCTATTGATTTAAATTGTCTTTCTTTTCAAAAGGAAAATTTCAATTCCAAGGTGACATTGCTACAAACTATCTGAAAGTTTGTATTTAAACAAAGAATATCCAAAGACTTTTATCTCTGATAATGATTCTCTTAATCAAAAGCCTAGCAAAGTAGATTTTTTACTATAGATAGGTCTTTTAGACATTTTAGAAGCAATGAATACATTCTTATCCAGAAGATCTACTTCCCAGTACATCAGTATTTCTCCTTTTGCTGAGACAGGTTATAACCAGGTGCCTTCTTGGTAACTGTGTTAATCAGAAGAGCCTAAACTTTTGAACAATTTGTCAGAGTAAATATGCTTCCCTTTCCTTTGTTTTTTGCTTTTGCTTTATGATAAAATTTTGTTATAAAAATACATTTCCAAGTAAAAAATAAGGTATGACACTTAAAAGTATTTTTTCTCTTATGAATCTTTTTTTGCCCCTTACTAATAATGTTAAAAGAAAAAATGCTAATTAATTTGAGTAAAATTTTTCTTTTAATTTGGGTTTTTATGAACATAGTTTTGAGTGAAAAAATTATATTTCATATAACTGTTTCTCAGTATATTATTTTATTCCATTAAGTATTTTATAAATATATTGAAGAACTGTTTTGTTAATGATAAAACCAGCCAAATATTTTGAACATCTTGTAGACATTTAAAAGTAGTTCTTAGGGAAGCCTGGGTGGCTCAGTCCATTAAGCATCTGCCTTCGGCTCAGATCATGTTCCCAGGGTCCTGGGATCAAGTCCCTCATTGGGCTCCTTGCTCAGCAGGGAACCTGCTTCTCTCTCTGCCTGCCACTCCCCTTGCTTGTTCTCTCTTTCTCTGACAAATAAATAAATAAAATATTTTACAAAATAAAATAAAATAAAAGTAGTTCTTACTTGAGGAAATTATCTTAGGAAATATCACAAAAGTTCATGAAACAATAATGTATCTTACTTTGATTGATGGAGTTCCAATTTCCTCAGTCCTCAAAGTCATCTATTGGAATTTAGAGGAGTCTAATAGGTAGCATTCCTTTTACTTGCCTGAATTCTAAAGCAAATGAGAACAGGACAAAAGAATAGAGTAGAAGGGAGATCAAAATAGCACCTTTATTGTTGATAGAAACTGGAGAATGTGGTTTATATCTGCAGACTAGAGTCCTAATCCTGAATCCCAAAATTCACCTGGATTACCTACAGAGTCATAGGCAGTGCTAGACTACCAAGTGTCTCTTCACACAGGAGATAGGGTTGGGCTTCCCAGTAAAAATTACGGAGAAGCAGGAAGAAACATCCTTCTTGGTAGACAAGCTGGATCTCAAGGGGAGGTGGAAAGGAAATGTTAGAACTCAGTATCTCAATCTTTGTTCCAGGCTAGGAATGATTGACATGGCAGAAAGAGGCTGTGAATGTTAAATTTTTCACTCTCCTGCTTCCTGAAGAAATCAGCAATAATGTATTTTCTCTAATACTCTGTAGGAATCCCCACATCCACTGGGCCATTGTGTTGG